GGACAGGGGACAGTGTATCCCATCACACAACAACCTGTCCTTCCTTTTTCACTTGAGTTAGCTGGGGCAGGCTTCTGTGTCTGCCCCAGGACCTTTGCACCTGCTGTGCTCGCTGCTTGAATGCTCTTGCCCCACTTCTTTTTTCACGGCTTGTTGCCATTCCCTTCAGGCCTCTTCTCCAATGTCACCTCCTCAAAGAGGCCAAACCATCTAAACAAGCTCTCCTGTGGCAAATGCTGTTGTTTCTTCCCATAAAAACCAGTCCCGTTTTCTGTGTTTGAGTGACAACATGCATAGCCCCAGAATGGGTATATGATTAGATACTGGCCAAATGAGGCATCAGGGAAGGGCTACTGGGTTTCTGGGTTTCTGGGAAAGATGCTCCTCCACAATAAAGGAGAGACCCTCCTTTCCTGTTTTTTGGCACCAGAAATGAGGATGTGATGTCTGGAGCTGCGGCAGCCATCCTGTAATGATGAGGTGACTAGCCTGAAGAGGAAAGCCAACTGTTCTCTCGAACAATGAGAAGGTCTGGTAAGACAGGGTTTGCTTCCTACATGACACTAAGTGATTGGGGCTGAGTCCCAACTCCCTCTTTTAGATGGATTATATGCTGGCCAGTTTGCCATGGTCCCCACCTGTCCCTCTGGCCTTACTATGGCCCGCTTCACTCACTTAAATCCTTGCTGGACCCTGGGCAGCTCCAGGGAGGATGGGATGACTTACACTTACTTGTATGTCCATCCCAGCAGCCGCCAGCACCCAGCTACTGGGCGTGAGGGGTAAGTCGGTCAGACCTGCTCTCCACCTTTGTGCAGCTCATGGTCAAGAGAGTCACCCCAACATGGGCTGACAAGAATTGTGATGGGTGTGCCCCTCAGGTCAGGTCAGGCTGTCCTCCCCCAGGGGTGACAGTGCAGCTGATGCCTGATGCAGGAGTAGGAGTTAGGCAGGCAGAGGGAAGGGATCAACGTATCAGAAGAGGAACAGTGTGGGGCCCCAGAAGCCAGAGGAAAAGCAAGAGAGCTGACGTGGTTGGGGCTGCTATGTGTGGTTTGGGGGTGTCCTAGCCATCAGCGAGAGGCAAGGGCAGCCTGGACCAGCATGGCAACTGTTGGACGTGGAGGGGTGAACGGCTTCAGGAGGGAGTTAAGAGTTCAACCAACAAGGGGCACCTGGGTGGCTCAGTCGTTAAGCGTCTGCCTTCAGCTCAGGTCATGATCCCAGGGTCCTGGGATCAAGTCCCACATCGGGCTCCCTGCTCTGCGGGGAGCCTGCTTCTCCCTCTCCCCCTCCCCCTGCTGGTGTTCCCTCTCTCGCTGTGTCTCTCTCTGTCAAATAAATTAAAAAAAATTTTAAAAAAAAAAAAAAGAGTTCAACCAACAAGATGAGTGACTGAGGGTGTGAGAGAGACAGACACACAGTGAGAGAAAGCGGGTGTCCCCCAGCGTTTTGGCTGCGGGATCGAGTCAGGGGTGGGTGGGGAAGTGCAGGTTTGGGGTCTGAGGGGGTGAGGTTGGCTTTAGGCCTGTGTGGACTGGTAACCCTTAGTGGATAGGAGGAGGTGGGGTGGGGTCTCAGCACAAACCTCCCCCATTTCAAAACCCATGCTTACCTCTTTGCAGCAGAGAGCAGCCCCAGGGAATGGGGTCTTAGAGCTTCAAAGGTTCACCGAGGCCAGAGGGTATGGTGATTGGCCGTCCACACGCCAACGGGCCCTGCGGGTCAGACAGGCCCACGGGAGAAGTCCCAGAGCAGAGTGCCAGGCCTGTTCTGGCCGTCAGCCTCGGAAGCCCGGGCCGTGAGTGGGTGCCACTGCGACAGAGGGCACCGGGGGCCATGCAGCGGGGTGACCCGTGCAGAACCCCTCCCAGGGGAGCACGTCCTGCAGAGACGCAGGGCCACAGCTAGTCCCTGCCAATAACCCACGTGTCTGTCGAGGAAATGATGGGAAGGGACAGGGATAGGGAGAGAGGCCCTAGGTATAAAGTACGGGATGGTGTGGGTACTGTCCTCCGTCATGCACTAGAGTGGGGGGTGAGAACACACATCGCTCGTCTGGACGGGCGCAGGAGGCTCCGGGGGACGGTCATGGCACGGGGACGAGATCTACATGGATGGCCTCTTCTAACGTGTGCTTCCGAAGCCTGTGAACGTTTTCTCTGTTAGAAATGGGTACAGAATTCCAGATTAAAAACCAAGGTGAACTGTCACACCTTCCTGTGGAGCCTCGGCCCCCCTGAGGTTCCTGGGTCTTTCACGCTGGCCTCAAGGTGTTCTATACCCCGTACCAGGTCTGGATTGTTCTCAGGGTCTGTTTGTTTCCCCAGAGCCCCTCAGCCTGGCTGGGTGGGGGGCGGGGGCCAGGGCAGTGGGGGTGGGACGCTTCCTGTTGCTTTTAGTTTGGGTTCCTGGGGTTTGAAATGGAAACAAAAAGCCAAGGTTCAGCCTCAGTTGGAACCCACCCCCTCCTCCCACCCCTGCCCTTGGAGATTTCTCTGGTCCCAGGCCCTCGGACACAGGGTGAGGCTTCCTGGAAGTTGTTGGAACCCCTGCAGAGCATTCTGGGTAATACAGGGGCTGGAGCAGGTGCTTGGAGCGATGTTTCCCCATCGAGCAGCAGAACATCCTGGTTGACCTTGGCAGGATGCCGAAGACAAATCCAGGACAGGGAGCAAAGCAGGGCTGGAGGCGGACGCCAACCTAGATAGACACACTCGCGGGGAACGCGGCCCTGGACACAGCGGGTTTGGAGGGCGGCATGATGGCACGATGCCAGGGCTCAAAGATGATCCCCTCCTGCACTCCCCTCCCCACCCCCAAAGTGTGGCCTGGTGAGGTAGAAACCCAAGCAGGCTGCCTCCGTGGAAGAGAGGAAATCCACATCCTCTCCCATCCGACCCCGAGACCTGGCCCCACACCAGCCACTGCCGGGACACCGGCCACTTCCCCAGTCACTGCGAGGGCAGAGTGGCCCAGCAGTTGCCCCCGGGGCCCTGCCTCTGAACCGGAAGATCCAGCGGAGAGCCTGCGGGTGGCAAGTCAGCCAGGCCTGGCTGCAATTTCAGCTTCCCAGCTGTGTGACCTTGGTCTAGCTACTTAGCCTCTCTGAACCTGCTTTCTCCTGTATAAAATGGAGAAAGGTTTTGGGGTCAGTAAGTAAAAGAACACGTACAAAGTGCTTGGCACAGAGTAGGAGTTCAAAAAAATAGTTGATAATATTTTCCCAACCTGAGAGCATGGGGTCATTAATCTTCTGGAGATGTAGGACCCCTCGGGAATCTGAGAAAGCCCAGAGTTTCTCCCCAGAAAAGTGTAGATCTACACATACAACACCATTTCCGGGGCTCCAAGCTGTGTGGCTGGTGTCCTTGGAGGTAGACCAAGCATCCATCACTGCTGTTATCAGCTTGGCACAGGTTCCCTTCTCGAGCCTGGGGCCCTGGACTCCCTGGGCAGGCAGCAAGCCCCACTGTGTATCTCGGATGCCTCCCTGAGCCCTGGGCCAGCTCCCAAGGGAAAACACGGCTTGCAGACTCTGGTTTGATAATTCGAGCTGCAGTCGGCTTTGCAGAGCCCTCTGGGAGTCAACCCACCGCCCAGCCCCACGCAGGCCCCACTCTCCTTCCCAGGCAGCCTCAGGGCTGCCGATCTCCGGGCTGTTGGCGGCTGACTAATCAGAGCCCGGAGCTAGAGTAGATGATGTCAGGGGTCTTCTTTGAAATCCTCATGTGGTGCGATTCCCCAGGGGGCGGGGGGCCAAACCCCAGCCTCCTGCTGACTTTGCCGTTCCATCAGGGACTGACCCAGAACACAGAAACTCATTCCTGACCTTCTCTCCTCCTGCCCCATCTTATTAGCACACGTAGAGACCTGCATTCTAGAGCCTGGTAAAATGCCTCGGGGGGAATATTTTTTTCAGGTATCTTTCCCCATGTATGTCGTCTCTTCACCCCTCCTTGTCTCCTCCCACCCCCCAAATTACAGGCAAGCTGCGAGTTTGGTTATTCTGCACAAGCCTGAGCATCTGAAGCTAGATAAATAAATATAAATAAATCAGCAGACCCTTTACTCCGGGACCCTCTTCCAGTCACATCTGTCCTTAGAAGTACTTTGCAAGGCAGCAAGGGGTCTGAGTGGAAACACGATCGCCTCGGCTTGGGGAAAATTTACTGCTCAACATACAGCTCTAGCAAGATGGAAGCAGAAGACCTTCCAGCTCCCGCAGCTCCTCGCGAGGCGGGCGGCTTCTCTGGCCCTAAATAACCACAGTGGGGCCTCCAGAAGCACGGCCTCTCCGGGCCCAGCACATCCAGCTTGAGTCTGGGGGCTGTTTCGGGGGAAAAAAAAGCCTCACTAACTGGCCCTTGGGGAATGCTTTTCTTTTTTAAAGGCATCGCTTCGCTTTCCCTGGCAAACTTGGATCTTGGTGGTGCAGGGATGAATCATCATCACAGAGGGATGAGGGGACCAGGCCCCCTGCCTCGGACACCCCCCATTCCACCACTCGCACCTCTCTGGGCTTTGTGGTGCTCATTTGACTTCTAAGGGTCAAAATGCTAAAAAAAAAAAAAAAAAAACAAAAACCTGCAGGATGCACAGTGTTGTTTTTTTAGACTGAGATATTCATCAAAAGCTCTTTTAGGGGAGCCTGGGTGGCTCAGTCGTTAAGTGTCTGCCTTCCGCTCAGGTCATGATCCCAGGGTCCTGGGATCGAGCCCCTCGTCAGGCTCTCTGCTCTGCGGGAAGCCTGCTTCTCCCTCTCCCACTCCCCCTGCTTGTGTTCCCTCCCTAGCTGTCTCTCTCACTGCCAAAATAAATAAATAAAATCTTTTTAAAAAAAAAAAAGCTCTTTTATTCGTAATTCGTATCTTGAATATGCGGCCCAAACCTAGCAGATCAACGCATGCCCACAGTATTTAAGACCAGAGGTTGTTCCTGTATCTGTTAGGAATTGCTTTAAGCTGTAAGAAATGAGGACTGAAATAATAGCCGTTGAACACAAGATAAAAATTTATTTCTGTCCCATGTAAACAAAACCCAAGCAGTAGTCCTGGGCTCCAAAGTGCCATCAGTGACTCAGACTCCTTTTCTCTTTCTTCACCACCCTCTGAGCAGAGTTTCCATTCTCAAGGTCACTTCAAGATCCAAGATGACTGCTGGAGCTCCAGCCATCACATCTGTAGTCCAGGCAGGAAACTAGAGGAAGGGTTGTTTGTCTGCTTTGTCTTTCCTCCAAACCTTGTCGCCTTACATTTCCTTGATTCCTCCCTAGCTGCAAGGGAGGCTGGGATATATGGTCTCTTAGCCGTACACAGTTTCCCAGAATAAAAACAGGATTCTGTTAGTAAGGAAGGGAGTGTGGAGACTGGGTTGTCAACCAGTAGTTTCTCCCACAGTTCCCATGAACACGCAGACCTAGGATGGAAGCCCAGCCTGCCACCTACCCGGTTGATGAATACTCAGCGTGGTGCCAGGCTGGACGTGGCCTGCTTTGGGCCACGCCCGGTCGGGTCCATACTTGGAAAGTCTGCAAGAAGGGGTCAAGGAGGCAAATGGCTCTAGAACCCACAGGGCCTTTGCTATCTGCTGTGGAGGGAAGCAGAGCTCTCCTGCACACACACTCCCCACCCCAGCTCCTGGGCAGTGGGAGCAAACCCCATCGAGACCCATACCCCACATGCTGGGCGGAAAGAAGAAGCGAGGCTGCGCGTATGAACGTGATGTGCAGAGAAGCAGAGAGCCCGTGTGGGGAGAGCAGAGTAAGGGGCTCTGGCCTCAGGGCTGGAGTCGGTGGCGGGGGGCACCTCCCAGGCAGCCTATGGAAGGACGGGCCCTTCCCAGAGTGACTTGATAACTTGTCACCCAAATCAGGACGTATGCTAGTCAAAGAGGGGCTGTTAGTCATCCCGCCCAAAGCCCAGGTACAAATCAGGTGTGTCCTGGGTAGACTGGGATGTCCGGTCTGCCTGCCTGCACCTGACATGGGGCCTGACCTTAGCTTTGCAGAAGTGGTTTGCAGGTTACAGAGGGCGCGAGGGTTGAACACCTCTGCCAGTGATGAAATAATAATTTTTAAAAAGTTTGAAAACAAGGAAATGGAGAGATTTTAATGCAAGAAAAATAACAGCATGGCACGTTCCCTGTTCCGCCCCAACTGCCCTGCCTGGGAATGTGTATCTGGTGTGTCCCGAGGGCTGGCGGGCGCCCTCGCGTTCCGGGTCCCTGCCCTACAGGAAGCACACCTGCTCCCTGCGTTACATTCATCTGCTGCTCCGGCTTCTGAGGGGCCGCTGGCCTCTGGCCTGCCGTCGTGTCCTTCGGGGGGGCCTGCCTCCCTGCTGGTGCCATGGGGCAGGACCCCTCGGCCAGGTCAGCCCCGGGGATGGCGGGGGGCACACACCCGTCCCGTTCCCACCGGAGAGTGTCTGTCCCTGCAGCTGCATCTGCCCCAGGGCTCGCTGGGGGTGGGGGTCCCCATAACGGGGTGGACGGAGCCCCCTCGCCCCACAGCACTGCCCGCTGGGGTCCGGACACCCCTGGGAGCTGCGCTCAGACTCCAGGGGCCCGCCTCACAGCTGGTCCTCATCCACCCAGACGGTCTTGCGCTGCTCCTCGCTGATCTTGTCTTTGAGGACACGGAGCAGCTCCTCCACGCTGCCCCACATGTCGGCTTCCACCGTGGAGTACAGGCAGGGTAAGGCTTCTAGCTCCTTCTCCTTCAGCCGGCACAGCCGCAGGAATTCCTCCTCCGTCTCGGGCCGCGGCAGCATCTTCCTGTGGGCAGAGGGCGGTGGGGGGACAAGGGGCACTGTGGGAGCTGCGTGTGTGCCCGGCCGGGGGACCGCCGTCTGCCCACGCATGGGGGTGGGGAGGTGGGGGGGAGCCTCGGGGTGGGGGTGGGGGGCGCTGTGCAGCCGGACCCCCCGCCCACCCCACGGCCACCACCTGCCGCCTTCCAGCACACGACCGTGCCGCAGGCCCTGTTATTCTGGTCCCTGTGGAGATCCCAAGAGGTGGGGCTTAAAAAAATATCTTTTATTTTTATTTCCTTTAGTTTACTTTAAAAAAGCAATTCTTCCATTTTTAGAGCTGGTTGGTTGGTCGAGCAGGGGAGCTGTGACACTCCTTAGTCTTATTTAATTGTGGTAGCATGCACGTCCACGTTTCCATCCTGACCATTTCTTAAGAGTACAGTTCAGGCGTGTTAAGTTTATCCACATCACCGTGCCTCCAATCTCCAGAACTTTTTCCATCCTGTGAAACTGAGACGCACACCCATGAACGCTCTAATTCCCTGCTCACCCTCCCCGAACCCTGGCGCCACTGTCTACCCGTCTGTGAATCGTCCAGGGCCGTGATGTAAGCTGAATTGTGCAGTTATCTGTCCTTTCGTGCCTGGCTGATCTCGTGGAGCCTCGTGTCTTCAAGGTGGTAGAAGGTGTCAGAGCGTTCTTCCTTTCTAAGGCTGAGTCACGGACCACATTCTGTGTATCCATCCATCGACGGCCACTTGGGCTGCTTCTGCCTTTCGACTCTTGGGAATAACGCTGCCGTGAACGTGGGTGAGCAGTGATCTTGTTGAGACGGCGCTTTGGATTCTTCCGGGCAGATACCCTGGCGTGGGACCACTGGGTCACACGGTCCTTCTGTGAGGGACCCTCCGAGCCACTGTCTTCCGCGGCGGCTGCGCGATCTCACGTTCCCGCCCGCAGTGCGCCAGGCTTCTCCCCATGCTCGCCAACACGTGGCCACTTCTGGTTTCCAGACAGCAGAACGTGTGCGCAGTGGCGAGCTGGGGACTTTGGTCTTGTGTGCTCTTTCATGGGTTCCCCAGGGCCAGGCACTTAACAGGCGTTCAGTAAAGATCTGGTGGAAGAGGCGAGTGGCCTCCCCTCCCCTCGCACTTGCAGCGTGTGAAGGAGAGGCGGGGTCAGGGAAAGCGCCACGAAATGGCCAGGCCCCAAACCCCACAGCCAGCCCTGCAACAAATACCACCGGCTCCAGCTTGAACACGGATTCAGACCTTCCCTCACCACCCGCCAGGTAGGATCCGGGTCCCAGCTCTTGCCCGGGTGCTCCTAACCCCTGTCTCCACACAGCAGCTGGAGGGAGCCTTTTACATCCTGTTAGATCACGTCACTCGCATGGTCCGGACCCTTGGCTGCAGGTCGCTCTCCCCGCGCTGCGCCCCGCACGGCCTCCTGCAGCTGTCCCCGCCTCAAGGTCTGCGCCCTTCTCCCTCAGCACCTGCCCGGCCGCCCTCACTGCACTGGGGCCGCTCGAGTCAGCTTCCCTTCCCCAGCCGCCTGGGTCCTGCAGCCATGCCTCCCGGCCCTCGTGCCCCTGGACGTGCTGTGTGTGTGTGGGTTACTGTCTCCACTGCTAGAGGCTGGGGGTCGTGTCTGCCCTGGGCTGCAGCCGGGCACTCAATGACGATGCCGTAAAGGGGTGAGCAGGGGGACCAAGCAGAGGTGTGGCAGGGAGGGAGGGGGTGCCGGAGGCCCCGGGAGAGGGGTCTCAGGGTCCTACCTGAACCTCTTGATGTTCTTCTCCGACACCCGAATGAAGAGCACGATGGGGTAGATCCTGGACTTGATCAAGTCTCTGGTGCAGCTGATTCCAGCCTCCAGCAGACAGTGTTTGTCCTGCAAGCACAGCGGCCGGCGGTCAGCAGCCCCTCCAGCCCCTCTGGGTAGCTGAGGCGAGGCCTGGAGTGCAGGGTCAGGCTCCGCCGGACAGGGACAGGGGCAGGGGTGGGAGCCCCGAGTGCTCCCAGCTGCAGCAGGGAGAAACCCAGGGTGAAGCCCGACCCCTGCTTGTCTGCACACTTGGTTCCACAGGCTTGTGCACAGCGGTGGGCGCTGCAGGGCCCCGGCATCGAGCCCGAGGTGAGGCAGGCAGCATGAGTGAGTTTTAATGAGAAGCAAAATCAGCTTCGGGAACACCTGCTACTCCCCTCAGCTTACGAAGGCATTCGTGGTACCATCAAGGGTGGAAAACACCCGAAGGGTGAGGTGGGGCTGGACGGTCCTGGGAGCATCTGCAAGGGTTCTCGGGCATGACTCCCTGGCACCCAGGAGCTCATCGCTTCTGAAGAAGGACAATCTCTGTGTTGCTGAAAATGTCACTTCAAAAACAAACCAACCCCAAGAAGCCCTAAGCCTCTGCGCTGAAACAGAACACTAGTAGAGGAAAGTGTGTGTGTTCCTAAGCGTGCACGAGTGAATTTTCACAACCCGAACCTGCCCCCACCCCTGTGCTCCTTCTGGTCACTGCCCTCGCTCCCCGCCCGCGTGGCCACTGCCCAGACTCCTCTAACAGCCCAGATCCATCTGCTGGGCGGCCTCACCTTTCCAGGGACAACCATCTCGGCTCCGACCCTGCCCACTCACATCCTATCCGCTCCAACATCAGAATTCCCTCAACTGCTGTGGCCCAGACTTTAAAACCAAATAAACAGTTCCAGGCTGGATAGCTCTGTCCGTGCTTTCATCTGTGTGAGTGACAACATTGCGGGAGGGGGTGGCACGTGGCAGGTGGCAGATGCGGAGCTCCCGTGGGCACCTGCTCGCCCCCCCACCCACCCGAGGTCACCATCCACTGCAGAGCTGACCCCTCAGGTGCTGGGCAGTGCTCAACAGATAGCTTTGCTTTGGAAAGGTCCCAGAAGGACCGGGCTCGATGCCGGGGCCCTGCAGCGCCCACCGCTGTGCACAACCCTGTGGAACCAAGTGTGCAGACAAGAACTCAATGCTTGGGGCCGATAAGGACCACGTTGTCTGGCTCCAGAAGATTCTAGAACGCATGCAGACACCTCTCCTGCATTGCTGCCAGTTTCCCTCCTGAGGTGAACAGGACTCCTGGCACCCATTTGTTCTCCTGTCTCTCGCCCTGACCCAGGCTCCCTCTGTCTCTGGCCCTTGTTCTCACAGTCAAGCACATGTATAGCCCTGGACGATGTGAATCGGGCACGCCAGTGCCAGGAGCCTTCAGAAGTAGAAGCTGGTTTCAAATGATCAACGTGCATGTCGGACCCCAAAGAACAAGAGTGTGTGGAGAGGGAACATGGAGCAGAAGACAAAAGGAAAAGGAGGAGGTTTGCCCACCGGGAGGTGAGAGCAGCTCTGCACCCCACCCTTGTCCATGGCTGAGGCTGCCTCACAAAGATAACCGGTGGTATCACCCCATCCAGCCCCCAACCCCCACCTCACCTTGGCGGCCACAGCTTCAATGTTGGCGGGAACAATGCATTCGAAAGTGTTGGGGTTCTTCTCTCGGGAGTAGATGATGGTCTCCATCTTCTGCTTCCTGAGGAACTCGTCTCTAGTGACAACATCTGCAGACAGAGGGCCAGTCCTGAGGGCAGCACAAACCTCCCCTTTCTGGGCTCAACAAAACTCCATGTTGATCTGCTTATGGCCACATTGAAATGAATCCTAGCTCCTCTACTAGACTGTGAGGCTTCTCAACAGCAGAGTCAAGGTCACACTTCTTTACACTTCCCACAGCAGCCCACAGAAGAGCTGGTTGGTAAATTCTCAGCATTAAGTTTCACTGGACAAAGTAGCTCAGGCACTGAGGTGCAATACTGCTGAGTTGTCTATCATGAAGCATAGACAACT